AAGTTAGAACGATTTAACAGTATCCGAAGCCTCTTTACAATCAACCTCGAATACTGGTGGGGAATTACCCTTAAATATATCAAGTTCGATGTAAGAAAGTTACTTTATAACAACAGGGTTCTGATAGGAAAAATTGTAAGAGCCAAATGGTCAAAATGAACCATGCTCGTATAGATTGCTCGATTCCTGGTACAAAATATAAACACATGTATAACGACATGAAAAGAAACTTCTTTGCCCATATCTCATATCTCACAACCCATCATCTATTTCATGATCTATTATGCAAACATGCTCAAGGGCCGACCATTACTTCAAGTTCGATCAAGCACTCACTCGACTATTAAGCCTACGGGCTACATTACTTCGAGTTTGAAGCACTCGCTCGACTACTAAGCCTACGGGCTACTCTTACTTCAAGTTCGAGCAATCACTCACTCGACCATTAAGCCTACGAGCTACATTACCCCGAGTTCGAATCATTCACTCGACTACTAAGCCTATGGTCTACATCACTTCGAGTTCGAGCAAGCACTCACTCGACTACTAAGCCTATGGGATACTCTTATTTCGAGTTCGAGCAATCACTCACTCGACCATTAAGCTTACGGGCTACATTACTTCGAGTTCGAACTACTCACTCGACTACTAAGCCTACATGCTACATTACCTCGAGTTCAAATCACTCACTCGACTATTAAGCCTACGGGCTACATCACTTCGAGTTCGAGCAAGCACTCACTAAACTACTAAGCCTACTGGCTACTCTTATTTCGAGTTCGAGCAATCACTCACTCGACCATTAAGCCTACAGGCTACATTACTTTGAGTTTGAACTACTCACTCGACTACTAAGTCTATAGGCTACTCTTACTTCGAGTTCGAGCAATCACTCACTCGATCATTAAGCCTATGAGCTACATTACCTCGAGTTCGAACCACTCATTCGACCAATAAGCCTACGGGCTACATCACTTCGAGTTCGAGCAAGCACTCACTCGACTACTAAGCATACGGGCTATTCTTATTTGGAGTTCGAACAATCACTCACTCGACTAATAAGCCTACGGGCTACATTACTTCAAGTTCGAAGCAATAACTTAACTCGACTACTAAGCCTACGAGCTACCTTATTTCGAGTTTGAGCAAGCACTCACTCGGTTATAAAGGCTACAAGGTCCAAGTTCGATCAAAATTTCCTAAAGCCTTATGAAAACCTTCATAAGGCATGAATGAAACAAAATCTTCACGAGGCAGAGAATAAAACAGAGGAAAGTCGGGAAAAGAAAAGATCTTTATAAATATACAAGAATGTATACAATGTCCGAACATGACCCTACACAAAAAACCAAAATAAAAACTAAGGGCTAAGTTTCTTGGTTATCTACGGGGGCAGTCTCTTCTCCATTGGGCTCCTCTCCGCTCTCGGACCCACTCTTCCTCCCATCATCATCATCAGCATCAGCATCATCACTATCGGAAGCCAAGGCTTCAGCATCGGCTTCGAGCTCTTTAGCCTTTTTTTTTATCTTTTTGGTGAGATCTAAACCTCGAGCATGGATCTCCTCGAGGGTCTCCCTCCGAGATCGACACTTAGCAAGTTCAGCAACCCAATGTGCTCGAATGATTGCGATCTTGGCTGCCTCTCTTGTTTGTACCTGAACAGCTTTAGCATCGGCCTGATAGACGGCTACGAATGCATCTGCATCGGCCTTTGCCTTTTCGGCATCAGATTTGACTTGGCATGTTCGGAGGCCAACCGAGCCTCGAGCTCCTCTATTCTTCTTGATTGAACCGAAATTTTCTCCTTCATGCTTTGAAGTTAGGTTTCGACTGATGATAATTGGGCTCGAGCAGCCTCTTTCTCTGCAGCAAAGCGGTCCATACTTTCTTTCCACTTCAAGGACTCCGCCTTTATCACATCGACCTCCTCACGGAGTTTCCCGATCATCTCAAGTTTCTGCTGCAGCTATGAGACCGAAAAATTAGCCATCATTCTGATATCGAGCCCATAAACTTTTAATAGTATCATTACCTGCTCGGACAGATCGGTCTGATCTTGGTGAGCCTTGGCCAACTCAGCTCGGAGGTCTTTGATTTCCTCTCCCCTTTGCCCTAAGAGGAGTTTAAGGGGCGTTCCTCTCCTCCATGACCCGTTGCAGGTCGACCTCATATCAACGCAACTCGGATCGAGATCGAGAACATGCTTCTCGATGAACTGCTGCGGCTTACGAAGAAAGAAGAAAAGAAGTTAAGAAAAGAATAGCAAACATGAAAGTGGTATCAACGAAGGGAGTTAGAGCTTACCCAATTTAGAGCTTGTTGCACTTTACAGAAAAGGCCCGACACATCACTAGGGCCAGCAACATCCTCGACACCAGTAAACAAATCACATGAAGGGGAAGTCGGTTTATCTCGAGGGCCCCCAAAGCTTGGGCTTCCCGAATCGCCCCTTCAGAAAAGGCAGGGAGATTGGGCGAGTCTCCGATTACTATTGCCCCAAGCGACTTTCTTGGGGCATTCTCCTTAGTTCGGAGAGCCTCAGGATCAGCCTCTTCTGATATACCCACAGTTTGTTAATTTCGGTGGGAAGCATCCTCAATCTCTAACGGTTCGGGGATTCTGCTCGAACCTTCCTCCGATATCTCCTCAGTCCGAGGCGGAGCTTTATAAATCACCATCGACACAGCTGCCTTTGGGGCATCGATGGTTTTCTTCATTCGGACCACCAACACAGACCCATCATTTTCTTCTTCTTCCTCGTCTTCATCCCTTAGACGCAGAACTGATTCCATGGTTAAAAAGATGGTAGTCTTCCTCGGCTTGCGAGCCATCTTCATCTTCGGTTTTGGATCTTCGGAAGTAGAGGCCCTTTTCCTCTTATTATCCTTCATTGGTTTTGGAACAAAGATCGAAGCCTCTCTTTCGCCGGGCGAGGGCCTCAGAACCGCATCTTTGCCTACATCTACATACAGGAAAATTGATTTAAGTACACAAAAAGCATTTCGTTGGAATTACCAAAGATACGAGAAAGAGGCTTACCATGATTTTTGGCCTCCCATCGGCCCTTTGACAAAATCGCGCCATGAGCGCTCAACATATGTAGAGGTTGAAGCTAGATCTCGTACCCAGTTCTTGAGGTCGAAAACTGCACCGGGCATCCAAGGAACCGCTGCATCACAAAAATGGGATATCGGTGAGAAAAGAAATAAAGGGGGCAAAATAGTATGAGATAACAACAGAATTACACTTACGCTTCATGTTCCACTCCTCGGAAAATGGCATCTTTTTAGTCGAAATCAGGTCCGAAGTCTTCACTCGAACGAACCTGCCCATCCAGCCTCGATCCATGTCCTCGTCTATGCTCGAGAACAGAACCTTGGTAGCCCGGCGCTGAAGTTTTATTAACCCGCCTCGAAAGAGGCGAGGGCAATACAATCGAATAAGATGGTCGAGGGTGAAAGGTATCCACTCGATTTTGTTCACGAAGAAACAAATCAAAATAACGATCCGCCAAAAAGAAGGATGGATCTGGCCTAGGGTTATTTGGTATTGACGACAGAAATCAATAATAACAGGGTCGAGGGGACCTAACGTGAAATGATAAGTATACACACTTAAAAACCCTTTCACGTAAGTGGTGATATCTTCTTCAGAAGACGGGATTACTATTTCTTTGTTCTCCCAATTGTAATCTTTCTTTAGCTGCTCGAGGTGCCCCTCGGTTATCGAACACATATACCTCAATACTGGCTCACATCGGCCGAGAACTGACAGGCCTTTATCGACCTTAAAATCGGAGGTAAGAACGCACGCCCCAGGAACGCACTCCTCAGGCCGTGCCATTGGTGTTTTGTCGGCGGTCGGTTGTGAAGAAGAAGCTTTTTCTTTATGAGGAATGGTTTTTGATGTTTTATCCATTTTGGATTTAAAGATTGAAAATAGAAGGAGGTAACAAAGATGTGGTGTTTTTGAAGAAAGATTTTGCAATAAAAAGTCACGGATTTATAGATGAACTCAGAAGAAGAACTTGGAAATTTTGGAGATGTAAAAGTGATAAATGGTAAAAGGAGGGGCTATTTATAGATTGAGCAATGGCGGTTCAACATCAGCAGTGGCCGATCACCACCCGACACGTATTAAATGCCTTGAAAAACTAAACCGACGGGACATCTATCACGTGCGTCATGATCGAGCCCAATGTAAACGCCAGCTTATATCTGATCGAGCCGTTGGGAAATCATGTCGTTTCTCGCTACATTCTTCCCGAGAAACGAGGGGACTATCTGTATACGGTTAAAACCAATTAGTCCTTCGTACGAACGGGTCGAAATGGTAATGCATTGGATCGAAGAGCGTCTTCATAATATCAGGTTGAGGTCCGAAGTGAGGTCACCAAGTTTCGAGCCCTAGAGACCGATCAATGTCGAGCTTGATATCATTATCGAGCTCGAATCCAAATCGAACTATGATGCAAAATAAAGTTATCGAGCTTATGAGGTAGAGACCGACCAACACTGACCCCGAATCAATATAAGGATCCGAGTCAGAATCGAGCTCGAGTCAAGATCGAGAGCTCGAGTCAATATCGAGCTTCTAGACAAGAGCTGTTGCAATCGTACTAGAGGAGAGAATCCTAGCAGGAATTATGAAAAAACTGATTTATCATGGGTCTCCCACTATGTATTTTTAATTATATCTAAAGTAGGATTCCTCCACTATAAATGAGATGGTTATTATTTCTGTAAGGACCAAATTTTTGCATACATTGTAACTAAGATATCATACACTCCTATATTGAAGAGTTATCCTTTTTAGCTTCATAGATTGATTCATCTTGCTTAATCTATACATCATCTTCTCACATGCCCTTAGAACTACGTACAAATTTAATTCTATCCGTTTTTCGGGTAAACAAGGTCATAAGTCATTAAATTCTAATATTTCATATCTAAATTCGATGATTAAGGTTTACAAGTCATCCCAAATGGGGAAGAGTATACAGGAAAATCATGCCTTCTATAGCCTAAATAATTTGCTTACAAAAAATAAAATGTCTTAAAAGTAACATGTTAAACCTATCCAAATTGAATTTGGCTATGAGTGATCCAAGAAATTTAGATAACACACATATGAACATCAAGAATTGCCCTGCAATTCTAACACCTTCACACTTGTAGTTATCCAGTAAATTACATATGACACTAATAATTGTCCTGTTAAGCTTGATTAAGACTGAAAACCCCTAATGATTTAGCCTGTGAACTTCCATTTTGCGCAAGTGACCAAAATCTGAACACCAACAAGTTCATCATTTAAGCAGATTAATTCTTCCTAGCATTGGTTTATTGAACAAATTGACTTAGCTGAATGATCATTGCGCTTATATCATCAGAGGATCCTCTCATTACTGCCAAATCAATAAGCTTTTTACAAGCAGATAATCGTTGTACGTTATCAACACCTATGCACAAAGGTCGCGCTACCTCCACCGCCTCCTGATTAGTAACCTGAAAAAATATTCAAAGAAAATTTAGCACCCCAATTTCCCAATTTCTTTACACAATATAAACTTGAGTATTTGGATTTATTCACCGCTTCAAAAGATACATAGGAGGAGCCAAGATTATTTGAAGCTTATCGGAATTATAATTTTTCTAAACTACTGGTTCTAAATTAATAATTTGTATAAAATTTAATAGATTTCTTAAGATAAATACGGTATTTGGACTAATGCTACTAGGTTCACTAGAACAGCCGGCAATCGAAAGGCTAGCTCCGCCGATACATTCTAGTACTACCTTTCAAATTAACAGACTTTTTTCAGCAGTTATACCTTTTCCCAAAGTCCATCAGAGGCAAGGATCAAGAATTCACATTCTGGTTCAATAGTCAATATTTTTGTCTCCGGTTCAGCTATTACCCATCTTTTAAGATGAGAATCTCCTATTCCTCTTGATACAGCTAGAGATCCTTGAATTCTCCACACACCCCGGCAACAATCTACATAACCACCCTGCAAATTAAGTTTTTCAAAAAACCATAAGTACAAAACATAGATGGTTTCGAATGATTTTTCTTACGGCATTTTCACAATCAATACAACAACAAAATCAGTGTAATCCACAAGTAAGGTCTGAGAATGATAGTATGTCCTTCGGCTCGGGTGAAGCATAGTCACATCACTTTTTGAAAAGAAAATAATAGTGCACAAACTATGGAAAGAAAACGTAACACGACATAGTACCAACAACAGCAAGATAACAAGAAAATTGAAGCGCATTTCCACAATCAATGTTCTTGAAAAATAGTCATTGTTTCTTACCAGACTCTGAATTCTTTCCATTTCATCTTGCCTAGAAGGCCGGTGATCGACTGTGAGCGCCTCTGCTACGCCTCCTCTGCTCATTACAGCGCGACAATCGCCGGCATTTGATACAATAAGTTGTCCATTTTGTATCAGTGCTGTAACACAACAACTCCCTCCATTTGTATTTAGCTTTAGGAAGTCTGTCTCTGTAGAAAGGTAACCCTCTCTCACTGCCTCTTCAAGTCCGTCTTCACTCCTTAACGCTACTTCATTTATAATGTTCCTGCCCAAATTCTTTGCTGCGAACTCGGCAGCTTTTGCTCCTCCATGCCCATCAAATACACCAAAAATGGCCTGAAATAAGGGTAAAATAACATTCGGCATAAGAATATATCACATGAAATAAATGTATCTATCTATCTAACTCAGTAGGCAAATTGCTTTCTGTAAGTCATTACACCAGTTCATTAAACTTTCTTTATCTATGCTTATTATATGCTATAAGGCAGAAATTGCGTTGATTTGTTTAATGGAGTTGAACTTCTATTTATTCATTTGAATCAAGTTGTTTAACAATTCAATCTTATAAATGACAAACTTTGGGCCAAGTTTTCGCAATATCAGTTCAGCTCCATTTGGAGCTGTTTCATTTCAATCAAGCTATCAATATTTACAAAATACCATGTATCCATATATATAGGCAAAATTCACTACCCAATTTTGGATAGAGACGAAGTAAAGATTTGAATCTAATGGGTTTTGGATTTTAATCTTTTTAAACTACTGATTTACTGAGTTCTAAATTAATAATTTGTATATTTTAATTAATTTTTTAGACAAATATAGAATATGAACAAAAGTTATTGGGTTCAACCGAACCCGTAACCTCTATGCTAGCTCATCCCCTGATTTTGGAATACTCAACTCAAGATTGCTATACCCATCAACACTAATAGCCATAAATTATTCTTCAAAAAGTTTAAATTTTATACACTAATATATTAAACAAATACACAAGTCATATCTAAAAAAAGGAATACGAATCATCTCGCATGCAAGTCATATACGAAGTAATTCAATAAAACAAATAGTAACTAACATACTATCGTACTGATAACAAGATAAAATCGATTGATAGTGCTAAAATCCTTCTACAAAGGTCTAAAATTATGAAGTGCAAATAAAGAAATACTATAGAGTCAAACAAACATTTCTTGCAAATAAATACCTGTTTAGAGCCATCCTTAGCATGATCAATTACGGCCGAATAGCGATCCTCCATATCACCCCTCTTCTTCCCTCTCTTACAAAAAACAGAGTACCCTTCTTCTTCAACTTCCACTTCATCCATTTGACCACTCTCTTCCCTCGGCGCGTGTTCTAAACTCAACGAGCCAATCGGAATCGTGATCCTCGCCGGTCTTTTCCTCTTCAAAATCGTCGACGATGATGACGTGGAACACACCGCCTCCTCCTTCTCCTCCTCTTCTCTGAGATTTCTGTTGTAAGTCAACGGCGATAGAGGTGATTTTGGTGAAGGAGATAATAAAGATGATGACACATAAAAGGACTTGTGATTTGCTGGTGATGATACAGACGATGGTTTACAGAAATATGGTGAAAGTAGTTTTGGTGTTTGTTGTGATGGTGAGAAGATTGGAGAGTTTGTTAATGCTATTGCACAAGGCATTTTTGCTTTCTTTCTTTAATTTGGCTTTGATTTGTAGATTATAGTTTTGGTACGTAAATTTGGGAGCAGTGTGATATTTATAATGACGTTACTTAGCTACCTTGGTTCTTGTTTGAAAGAATAAGTCGCCAACGCGCCATGCAAGTGGCGGTGGAAAACGAAGACAAAACTTTGTTTTTAGACATAACATGCAGTATCAAGAAATGTTATTCTTGAGTAAATATTTTTGTAATATTACTCATCCGATTTATTTTATATGAACCGTTTAATTATCCATAAAGTTTAAGAAAGATAAAAAAATTTATATTTTTTATCTTTTCTAAAAAATTCTTTTTCATGGAAGCGCAGTGCTCTCAACCTGTCGTAACAACGAAAGAAAACGACTTACTCTCGTTGCCTGCACGGAAAGAAGACAAGAAAGATTTTTTTTGAAACTAATAATTTTTAAATATGTCATGAGATCTGTATAATTATAAAATCATATGATTCCGAGCAAAATTAAAAGGTTAAAAAATAAATTATTTCTTAATATAACCAATGTCATTTTCTAGTAAAATAAATAAATAAAAAGACAATAGTATCATATAGAATAAAATCAAAGGAATACTAAAATTGTAAGAACATTCACTAGTGATCCTTGTCATACTATAGAACACACCCTCAATAATTGTGCTAACTTTTGTTTGGAGATAAAGATAAAAATAACATGGAAATGAAAGGGCCAAAATATAAAATTGGTCGATCAACAAAAATTAATTGAATTTANTATATATATATATATATATACTGTTATTTTTGGAATCAATTAATTTCTCGATAAAAAGGAGAATGACTCAATTAAGTAGGGATTGGCTTAGACGCAGTTGGAGTGAGAGTGGAGAAATGTCATATTCGCCACAAGCTGGTCCTCCATTTAAAAATGCGTTAGTAAGACCAAATGATATTAAATGGTCAAACACGTTTAATTTTCTTGGCAGTGGATGACTGGCTGGCTGCTTTCTATTTTCAATTGTTTTCTTAAGCATTTATTAAACTCAAAATTCTTACTTCTGCTTAAGTGTGTAGTTAGTAGTGAACTGGCGCTTAGTCGTAAGACTTGGTCTTCGCTTCTTCTCCTTTAGCCGACTTCATGTTGATATTTCACACCATCCAATTATTCCCAACCTCCCCTATTAAAAGGGTACGTTTGTAACTTGGTCATTATATTTTCTAAGTTTCCATAGTATAAGAGTGTTTAATTTTAAAATATAAGGAATGCATATATAAATGAGTTATATTAAAGGACAATCCGTATTCATGCAGGATGGGAAAGCCGTATCCTAAGGAATGTTGATGTTGGCAGCTTACCCTAATACAAACTTTATTGGCTGTTTTTACGGCTCGAACTCGTGACCTATAGATCACACTAAGACAATTTTACCGTTGCTCCAAGATTAAAAGACGGCCCGATGGACTAAGCTTCCGTTATACGATGAGTCCGGTGCAAGACTCCCTTCATAAATGAGTTATATTACAGGATATTTAGTGTACTTACCCATATTTTATCATTTTGAAGTAGATGCTCATATTTTTTTACCATATATATACAGCAAAAAGTAATAAAGGTAGATATATAAAATATGAAACCTAAATAAAGGCCTTGCTTATTAGACTTTATGTGACTAGATCTGGTCAGTCATTCATTTTTTGGATGGGTATGATGGTGGTCAAATTTAGGAGTTGTAAAAAATAATCATCTAAGGAGGAAAAATTCCTTTTTCTTTTCTTTCGCCTGAGCTAATTAGTCATAGTACAACACCTTTCAGTAATAAAGTTTCAAATATGTGGGGCTTCTACATGCAATTAACAAATACTTTGTCCAATCATGAACTTTTCTGCATATATAGATGGATTCAAAATCTTCATTCAAATTTTAACGACAAATTCTATTTGCTCTTAATTGAGGAAATAGTCTCAACTGCCGCTACTTTTGTCTTTCTTTCCTTTTTGTTTTATTTACTTTTTCTTGGGGTTTTGTTTTTGTGTGCGCGAGGGTGATTACTGTTTCGTCAAAATGTTTTTTCATAATATGTACTTATAAAAAATAAATAAAATTAATATATTGGGTACAAAATATAAAAAATAATATCGTTTGTCGTTATAATAATTTATTTATTTGTTTACTTTTTCAGCTATTGATATCGTTTACGAAAATTCTTGCCCGCGCCGGTTAAGGGGAGGATGAGATTCAAGAAGGATTGGCCACGGCCATGCATTGCATATACATTCTAATGAACCATTATATTTACTACGTAGTATCTATTTACTTTGACTGATTGGTATGTTCAATTGTTATTTTGAACACTTAATATTAAAGTCATTGGCTCTCTTCACTAATACGTAGGGTGCCAATGGTTCGGTTCGACCGATTATTTTGTAAATTTTGTACCATACCAATTTTTTGGTTATTCTATTATGTACAATCAAAATTAGACTTTTCGAAACCGTCCCAACCATATCGGTTTCTCTTCGGTATTGGTACGGTTCGATTAATTTTCGATTTTTTTAAAATATCATGTAAAAGTCACTAGAAGAAGTAGAATACAGTAACATACGTACTTTTATATGACTTAACAAAACTCTTTAGACATTTTTATATTTTAAAGGGTGATGAATTAAGAAAATATGAAAGATGGCTAGAGTATAGATCCATCAATATTCTACAGCAACTTCAAAAAAACTAAGCAAATTAATACAAAGAAAATATAAATCACACGAGTGGAAAGATATTAACCAAGTTGGGACCGACACTCAAGAATAAAGTCTATAGAAGATTAAATATTTAAAAAGATAAATCTAAATCAAATGAAAGGAAACATATTACATTGTTGTTTGCTACTCATAATCGCTACAAATACCTTGTGTCTTGCTAGTGAATATGCTGGAAATAATTTAATTTTTATAGGAGTAGCATAATAGGTTTGGGAATTAGGATTTTGTGTTTAATTACTTGTTAGCTTGTAACTATTTTCATAATTCCAAGACCCAAGGAAAATTTAATGCTTTATTATTTTTAAACTTAATATAAATATAGTTTTAACATGTAAATTTATTCGATACGGTTCGGTATTTTTTTGATTTATTTTCATAAAATAAAAAACATATCCTAATTATTGGTACAATTATAGATTTACATAAAAACCTACGGTTTTATTAAAATAAACCTAACAATCGGTTCGGTACGGTACAGATCGGTCGGTTTAGTCAGTTTTTAAATATCCATTGACACCCAGGGGATCGATTTCTTTCAAGTAAGAATTAAAGTTGCTGATATTGTATCATTTTGATCTTGGTGTGCTATTAATCTCTTTCTTTTTCTTTTTTCTTGTGTACGGTCAAAATCGATTCTCGATTTTGAAGACTGGCCAAGACAACGACGTCTCGATCGAAGGGTATCCACATATCGAGCTCGGACGAATTCCGGAGTAAGGACATTGAGTTTCGAGCTATAAGACCGATCGACGGCAAAACTCGGTTTCATTATCGAGCCCGTATCCGAATCGAATTACGAGGCAACTCCGACCGACACAGGCACCGAATATCGATGCCCAAGGCAGAACGGGCTCGGACCAAGACCGGATTGTTCGATCTAACACCAAGCTCGAGCCAGTGCCGAGCCCGCCGACTAAAGCCATCATAACCACACCAAGGGAGAGAATCTTGGCAGGAATCAAGGAAGAGACAAACCATCATGGGTCCTCCACTATATGCATTATTTTATTATGTTGTTATAGATAAAGTAGTGACCCTCTATTATATAAAGAGGGCATAGACTGCAATAGACTCAGGCTCCCCAAGATACATTAAGAGTTCATGTTGCTCATTGAGCCTTCCCATTGATTATTCCCATTTTATAGCAAAATACTGGTATTGTCATTTTTGTATCATAAGGAATTTACGTATCCTTAGAACCACACCTAAATTCAACGTTTTTCGATTTTTCGGGTAAATAATTTGGCGCCCACCGTGGGGCTAAGGGTAACAGTGATTGTTTGATATAAATCTATAGTACACTCCAGCTTACAACCTCAAATCAGCAATGACTCTACCTATCGACCTCGAAGCCGGCCTTCAAGATGAAACCAACAACTTGACGCCCGGGGCCGGAAGGCTACCTGACAGCGGCAACGAGGCTCCGATCGAAGAACTCGAAATTCGAGCCGAAGTACCATTGGATATCAATTCACAAATAGCTCTAGAAGCGAATCAATGTTCTGAATCGAAAAGAAGCATTCAGGGCGGTGCTCGACCCACAGCCCGAGACACCCATAACACGGGGGAAATCGGGGTCAGCTTGCGTATAATTTTCGAAATGCTACAAGCCCAACAAATAGCGATAGCTCAGTTACAGAGCCAAACTCATATGCAAAGCTGGCCGAACTTCAATCCACCTCTTCGAGAAGTCACCCCTGAAATTGCTAAATTACTCGAGGAACTCATGAAATGAGTCGAAGCCAACGACAAAAAAATGGAAACATATAATGCTAGGGTCGATCAAATCCCGGGTGCTCCGCCGATGATAAAAGGGCTTGATTCGAAAAAATTCATACAAAAACCTTTTCCCTCGAGCGCGGCCCCAAAACCAATCTCCAAAAAATTTCGTATGCCCGAAATTCCCAAATATAACGGTACAACCGATCCTAACGAACATGTCACCTCCTACACATGTGCCATCAAAGGCAACGATTTGGAGGACAGTGAAATCGAATCCGTGTTGTTGAAAATATTCGGAGAAACCCTCGCAAAGGGAGCAATGATCTGGTACCACAATTTGTCGCCAAATTCCATTGATTCTTTTGCCATGTTAGCAGATTCGTTCGTGAAAGCACATGCTGGTGCCATAAAGGTCACAACAAGGAAATCAGACCTCTTCAAAGTAAAACAGAGGGGTAACGAAATGCTGAGGGAATTCGTATCCCGATTCCAAATGGAACGTATGGATTTGCCGCCGGTCACAGACGATTGGGCTGTACAAGTTTTCACTCAAGGGTTGAACGGGTTAAGTTCGACAGC